TGTGTACTAAATGAGATTCTATCAAGATGCCGCCACACCTAAAACACGTATATAATCTACCCCTCCATGTAAGTTCCCACTTTCTTATCAGCGCTCATTTCCTCCCCCGTGCCGGAACCTGGGGCGAGTAATTCCATTTTCCCGCCACATTGGATCAGGCACTGGGTCAGACGGTGCAAAATGGGGAGAGCTAATCGGAGCGGAGCAACTAAAGTGTCGCGATTTTGATTTGTATGCACCCTTTCCGTAATACGCAATTCATAAAAAAGACACCAGACCTGCATTTGAATAGGGATGAGCTCGATAAGGTCGCAATATATATTGTTCACATTCTCCTCCTCATCAGCATCCTCATTATCATCATCATCTTCATCATCATTATCATTATTGCAACCACCATCATCACCATTTTTATAGTTATAATTATCATTATCTGTATCAATGCTTTTATATTAATAACAACAAAAATGATGATAATAATGAAAACAAACAACAACAAAAACAACAACAGCAGCTACTACAACAAGAACAACAACAACAAGAACAACAACAACAACAACAACAACAACAACAGCAGCATCATCATCATCATTATCATTGTTATAATCATCATGGTATCGCAGTGACATCATCGTTATCATTACAGCTATCGTCACTACCATCATATCACCACAACTAAGTATTACATTATTCAGCTAATAAAGCCACTCACCCCGCACAAGGTCCATGGGTAGACTGGGCACCCGGAGGATGGAGCTGCAGTTCCAGCGGCGGTCAGCGAACTGTTGTTGACACGTCTCCATGGAGACCATGGCTGAGTGGACCACTGTGGACATGAGGTCCAGGTTGTCCCGGCACAGCTTCATCTGTCGGGCGGCCAGGCCTGAGCTGCGGGTACAGTTCCGCGTCGTCTCCCAGGGCCGCTGTTTGATTCTGTACAGGGCGCTGGAATAGATTGGGGAGACGTTGGTAGTCAGTTATTTGTTGTTGTTGTTGCTGTTGTTGTCATTTATTTGTTGTTGTCGTTGTTGTCATTGTTGTTGTTGTTGTTGTTGTTGTTGTTGTTGTTGTTGTTGTCATTGTTGTTGTTGTTGTTGTCATTGTTGTTGTTGTTGCTGTTGTTGTTGTCATTGTTGTTGTTGTTGTCATTGTTGTTATTGTTGTTGTTGTTGTTGTTGTTATTGTTGTTGTTGTTGTTGTTGTTGTTGTTGTCATTGTTGTTGTTGTTATTGTTGCTGTCATTGTTGTTGTTGTTGTTGTATTTCTTTTTCTTCTTTCTCTTCTACTGGTTGTTGCTGATGTTGTTGTGGTTGTTGATGCTGTTATCGTTGTTGTTGTTGTTGTTATTGTTGTTTTTGTTTTTGGTGTTTTTGGTGTTGCTGTTATTGTTGTTGTCGTTGCTGTTGTTGCTATTGTTGTTGTTGTTTTTGTTGTTGTTGTTGTTGTGTTGCTATTAATATTATTGTTATTATTATTATTATTAATATTATTATTATTATTATCTTCATCAATATTATTACCATACCTTGATTAGATCTTACAAACCCATCGATTCAGCCAGAATCACTTGGCGAATCAAAAAAAGAACAAGACAGACATACAAAAACACCAGTGTGAAAAGTCAGATGTAAAATATAAAAACGATTCCTTCCAACAACCCACACTGGAATGTCACGATTTTGGGAGAAATCAAAAGAAATAACAACATTTATATGGAAAAAAGCAACGAAAGGAAATGAAACGTTGACGTCGGGAGGAGTAAATGTTAATAGGCGATGTCTACATCTGATCTAAATCGAATCACTATACAAAATGTAATACAATGACTGCCTGTACAGACTGTGTCGTAGTCTCCCGCTCCCTTTCTTCTCCTTCGCCTTTTTATTTTTACTCCCCAACACCGCTACTAACGTTTATACTGCACTGTGGCGGAGGAGATTTCAGTTTATGTTTGCATAAAGAGAAGCACATCAATACAATAAGGATAACTAATTGTTTGAAGGAAGACAGACAGCCACGTGGAAACAAAGAGGGGTAGAAAAGACGTAGTATCTACCCCTGAAGCCCTCAAAACACCAATTGAAAACTGAGCCCAAATCGTACCCGTACATCCCATTTAACCTTAGACCAATGCCCCATACCTTTGCCCCCCCCC